AAACATTATTATAATTACCACTACTATTTTTAAATAAATTTTAATCGTAACTTTAAATCCAAAACGAAACTAAACCATTATAATCATGAGTTTTTCAAGCCTAGATACAAATAAACAAGAATTAAAATTTTTTCGTAAAACATTGAAACAATCTAAAAAATTTCTTTTAGATTTAAAAATAGATTCTGACATATCAATGATAAATTGTATATCTAATATTGAAGCAATACATATAATAAATAATAGTATAAATTGGAAACAAGAACAAATAAAAAACCTTGAAGATAAAATAACAAAATTAATTTGTTAAATATGATAGAAAAAACGTTAATAATAACTACTTCACTAGAAAAAAGAAACTAAAAATCTTATTTTTAATACACACAATATATATGGAAACTTTACAAGAAAAAGTAGAAACACTAACTAAATTATTTGCAGCATTAGAAATTCCATCTGAAACTCAAGAAAATAATATAGAAATAGAAAATAATTCAGATGATAATGACGCAGAAGTAATATATGATTTTTCTTCAGATGATGAAAACCCTTATTCAAATCCATATAGAGATTCACAAAACAATTTTGGATTAAAACGAAAACAATCATATGTTGAAGATGATTATCAAAGTCAATATATTTATGGACCACCTTCATTAGAAGAAATTTTTTTATATAGACAAGGAATGGTTAAAAATAAACAAAACAAATGGGAAAAAATACCTCCTCAATATATACCTAAATTATTTACATTTCCAACAAATTCAGATATTCTTTTTATTGATTGTGACCAAAATCCTGAAGCAAAAATTCAAGAATGGAGTAATAATGGGAGTACAAATTCAGTTAACCGAAGAATTAAGAAATTTACACCCAAAACATTTTCTTATTGTATCATTCATAAAACACAAGGTAACGCATATCGTTTCCTTTCATCTCTTGATGAAACCGAAACAATGATGATAGCCACCACTGATGCTATGGAAACATTTAAAAATGTATTAAGCTGTCTTATTCAGGAATTCATAGGAAAACAAATTGAAGATAAAATATCAAAAGAAGCTTTTCAATTAGAATCACTATGACATTTAACTAATTTACGAATTTGTAATATGTGTTATTTAGAACCATTTATATGTGAATATTCTGAACATTATTATAATTTAGATTCCATTAGAAAAAAGGCAGCATTAGATATGTTCTATCAAAAATTACCATCATTAGTAAGCCAAAGTGTAATAAAAGATTCCAAGAAGCATTACAACAAATAAAGTTGCAGACACCTTAGGAGCACGAATAAGCATATTAAAAGCATGGATGCAGAAAAATGTTTAGAACAAAAACAGCACAAGATGCAAAAATTGATTTATGTTGTGACATCCTTTCTAACAAAGTAAATCAATATGGTTGTAAAGAAAAACAACAAAGTAAAAAGAAAATTTGGAAAAAACAAACATATAAACCTAAATACAAAGAATATTATAAACAAGGGGAAAGAAAATATTTCTGAAATAGAAAACAATATAAACAAAAATATCAATCCAAGACAAATTATTGCCCATCGAATAAAAAAGACTGTAAATGTTGGATATGTCAAGAAGAAGGACACAAAGCTTATGAATGCCCGAAAAAGACTAAAAAAGAAAAAGAAACAAATATATTAAAAATTACATACGACCTTGGATACGAACCCATAGAAGATTCAGATATAAATTCAGATATAGATATTTATGCATATACAACTGATTCTGATTCAGACGCAGGTACATAATCCTATGGAAAAAGTATTATTAGAATTAGAATTTGAGGGAAACCTCATATCTAACCTATCTGGAATACACATTGCTAAAAGTATACAATGGTATGAAAGTACCATCTGAAGTAAACAATGACAAAGTATACAGTGATATGAATATATCACCAAAAGCATACAGTGATATGAATATATCACCAAAAGTATACAGTGATATGAATATATCACCAAAAGCATACATTGATATGAAAATTTTCATATCATCATTTGAAACAAACAAATTTAAGCAATTATTCAGGTACCCAAGAGACGCAAATATTCAAACCACATATATATTGAAATGGAAGCAATCATGAAGCAAATCAAACACCAGTTCAAACAAAAAGAAGAGCAAGAAGCATCATTAGTCAGACAACTCGAAGCAGTCAGACGAGAAAAAGAACAACTACGACAAACAATACAAATTCTATCATCCCAATCAGTACCTAAAGAAGAAGCAGCTAGCAGTTCAACAACGAAGCAACCAAAAGAAGACATTCAAGAAATTTCATCCGATGATAGTCAGCCACAAACAATGCTCAAGTCAGAAAAACAACCTATAATACAAAATCCAGAAGAATATCCACCACTTCAAGCAGATCAAAATATAAAGAAATGGTACGTGATTTTCAATGGAGAAAACAAAGGAGTATATGACAATTGGGGAATTGCCAGTTCATATATTCTTGGAAGAAATATTATTCACAAAAGTTACAAAACAAAAAATGAAGCAGAAGCCGCATACAACGAAGCATACAAAGCAGTAATAAAAGATAACGTAGAATGTTCAAAAACAGTTCTCCTAACACCACAAAAACCTATGACCGGCTTCACACCACAAAAACCTGTATCCATCCCAAGATCCCTTAACCAATTAAATGCAAAAATTGCCCTTGAATCCATTCTATCAACCAAAGAAAAGGAAGCCATGAAAAAACCATCTGCCAAAAAATTCGCTGAATTATGGGATAGCCTCGTTTCCTACACCGAGGTCCATTCTTTAATGGGCTTTTACCCAGTAGCCAGACGACCAGGTCCTAAAGCAGTTTTCTTAGCCGACTTATCAGATCCTATGACTTTATGGGATTATTTTATTCATGGGTTCATCGACACCATCTATCTAGAAGGCACCAATCTACACTGCATCAGCGAATTCCCTTCTGCTGTGCAAACTATCATCAGAAATTATAAAATACGCTTTGCAAAACAAGAAAGAGGATTATTCATCAAAATGCATTCTAGCTACCCAATTTTTGATGAAGAATCTCAACTAATTGTCCCAAGTATTACTTTTTGCAAACATGGGAATAAGCAACGGCTCAAAACCAACAAAAGATGATCTACTCCATGAATCCCCAACACAAGAACATCTAATCTTTGCACTTGCCGGTGTTTATTTAGCATCATCACGCATTGGCAACGGTAAAGATCAAAGGTCAAGAATCAGAGTAAATTATGCTAGTAAAACTTTCATTATCTGCTCTTTAACAGACAATGAAATCACTCCGGAAGCAATGAAAGCAATTGAAACATTCGAACAACCTTTCGAAAAATTTTCTCATCAACTGGCTGAATTACCCGATGATATCAAGAAACAACTTTGCAAACATATTATGCATGCTCCAAGACACAATTGCAGTCACTGTTCAGAAAACAACAGAAGAAACACCATTCATGGAAGATTAACGTCAGCCATGACACAAGCAAACATTATTCAAAAACATGTCTTTTCGGAGGCGGGAGGAATGACGTAAGCAATGACATAAGAAGCCATTATTAAAGAAGACACATTATTGAAGACATGTGGCCTTTCAATATGGAAAGGAATTTGTAATTATTTATGGTTTTGTCTTTTATAATTATTGTATGCAAAGTGTCGGTAGCATAGTAAAATAAAGTATGTAAGACCTTCAATACTCTAGGGGGCATTAATGTAAATAGGTTTGTCATATTGCAAATCAACCGATTGCAGTTCTATTATTGTACTCGGCTCCTTTGAGCCTATAAATAGGGCCTTTGCCCATATGGAATGAACAAGCTAAAATTGAGTGTTTAAGATTTGAGTTGTTCTCAATCTTCTTCTGTTGAAATAGCTCGTCTATTTCTGAATAGCAGAACCCTATCCAAACATATCCATATATTCATATAAACATATCAAACCCAGACAATCAATCCATCGTCAATCCATTCCGACGCATCATTCAGGTATATTCTATCTTAATTCTATTAATTCCGCCCCCCCCCCCCCCCCCCACTTGCGGAAATTCTACAAAGGCAGATTGCACCAATTGAAGATCCTCCTTAAAGTGGTGGTAGCAAAAGGGCAATCCAGGAGAAAATGATTTGTGTCATCTATACCAGCATCACAAAATTGACAGAAGCAACTAGGGATCGAAATACCCCTATAAGAGAGGTCCACTACTGAAGGAATTCTATCAAGGCAAGCTCTCCAAACGAAAACGATAACCTTCACCGGGACCACCTTAAGCCAAATAATAGGATTCCGCAAAGGAACCGTCAACTTGTAGTCAAAAAGAGTCCGGAGATCATGAACATAAAAATTCCCATCAACAGAAAGTCTTGATTTCCACATATCCGTCCCACTACCGGTTGAGTGTATACAATTTTGAATTTCCAACAGATCCGACACCTCAGAGACGCTTTTAGGGGCTTTTTTCCAATCGCCGTGCGCATAAGAGAGTTTTAAACAAAACCAATACTGTTTCAATATGATTTTACATCTACATCTTCCATAATAATTTCAAGAAATATTTTATTCACATACCGTATATGAGAAAGGAACTCAAAGTGAACAATTTTTCTAAATTTTTTTGCTCTAAACTTTTTAAGATGAACAATATTAGAATGAGGAAACCGTGAGTTTGTGACTTAACATTGGTAGAGACTCAGAGAGTATATGTAAACAAAAACAATATGGTTAAAACAAAATAATGACCACTTTCCTATAAAAAAGATTCATCTTTTTTTTTTTTTTGTATATGTGTATAACCATGTGTGACAATATTGATTTATATAAGTTATATGATTTGAAGGTTCATAAAATATTATAGCTCTAAACCATAGTGACTAATAATAATACTGATTCAAATAGCGATTTATAAATACCAACTAATGCTTAAGAAAATTCATTTGACTCATAATGTGTATATAACTGTGAATATTTATTAATAAATAACAATAATAAGATATGAGCCTACAGTTTGGTATAAACATAAAAGATTCAATCAATATAAAATCCAAAAATTAATGATATATAAATATACTACATAAAAAAGAATGATTAGAAAAATTGAATAATTAAGTATAAATGTAAATGAATAGTTTACAATAAGAATTTACTAGAAATGTTTATGACTCAGAAGGGATAATCCACAAAATAATTGCTAGAAATCTTTCGGTGAACACTAAAGGTTATGGAACCAAACAAAACAATTCAATGTCTGAAACTTGAGCTTGAACTCATTTAGTAACTGAGGTCCAGGCTACAATTCAAGTCCACGACTTCTTTTCGCTTGAGAGCTTGAATGAAGCTTTTAAAACGCCGAACTTAATCAACTAAGCTTAAAAAATCACAACTTAGTTACACCTATCATAAATTTATATTGTTAACCAATATCTCGTAAGTAGAGTAAGACCATCTCCAACTCTTAACACTATTTTTTTTACAATATGTCTATAATTATAGTGTAAAAGATAAAATAAACTAAGGTCCTTCTAACCCATTATATTATATTTAACAATAAAAAGAATATTCTAGATATATTGTTATTTATTAAACATTATTATATATATAGTGTTACATTAAAATCCAACATTATATATTGTGTTAGGTATAGTGTACGGTTGAAACGTTATAGTGTAAAAATTATTTTTTAGTGTAGGGTTGGAGATGACGTAACTCACATGAATATCTTGTAATAGTGTATTTCATGAATATCTTGTAATAGTGTATTTCTTACTTTCCATAAGCATATATAATAGTGTCTCGTCAACGAGAATCCAGCATATCATAACAATTGTTATTTCCCTTCATCGTGAATTTATTGGATTTTTTGAAAGATAGTATAATTTTTTTTTTATGAAATAATAAAAAAGCTGAGGATTATGATATGAAAAGTAATAATGAAAAGCAAAAAGAAATTGGTTTGGGGAAAAAGAACGAACGGTGCAGATAAAACAAAAGCATAAGAGCTCCAATAAAAGATCTTCCAAAGCTCTCGAATCTCAAACAAACCAAATCCAATCACAAATTCAAAATAATCTCTCTTCTCCAGCGTCCGATCTCTGCATAAAATCAACCCAATCAGATCTCTCGCCTTCTTCGCGCGCCAAATACAAATCTCCTACCTCCCTCCAATTTTGTCTCTCTTCAGGTATGTCGAAATCCCCAATTTCACAACCCTTTTGTTGCGCAACGAATCCTTACACTGTCGGCGTATTTATGTGGTTTTCTTCTTTAATTGACGTTTTTTGTGCTCTTTCGTTGTTTGTGGTGACGATTGCTGATATGTTTAGGGTTTTCATCGGCTGTCATGGCGGATGGTCCGGGGAGTCCCGCCGGTGGGAGTCACGAAAGCGGCGGTGAACAGAGTCCTCAGTCGAACTCGAACATCAGGGAGCAGGACAGGTTCCTCCCGATCGCTAACATAAGCCGGATTATGAAAAAGGCATTGCCTGCTAACGGGAAGATAGCTAAAGACGCTAAAGACACTGTTCAGGAATGCGTTTCTGAGTTCATCAGTTTCGTTACTAGCGAGTACGTACATCCATTACATTTCACACAAACTGTAACACACTCATATTTCGAATGCATATACTTATTCACTCAGTCATAGCACTGCATAAAATTGAGCAAGTGTTCTAGCAACTGTAGTGAAGCTTCATTAATTATTTAGCCAGTAACTTCTCGATAGTTGATCTTTTTTTCTACGTTCCAATTCCCTGAGTAGGGCCAGTGATAAGTGTCAAAAAGAGAAGAGGAAGACGATTAATGGTGATTGATTTACTCTGGGCAATGGCTACACTAGGTTTTGAAGATTACATTGATCCCCTCAAGGCTTATCTGTCTAGATACAGAGAGGTAAAACATTTTATAATTGTCATGTAGTTAAAGATTACCTTCATGTTCTTACTATCATTTCAATCGAAGTTGAATGCTCATATAATTTCAGCTCGCCTTTCGTCCTTCAAATTGTACTAAGAACAAGAATGAGGCTATGTTAGATCTTTCTCATTACAATATAGTGTTTACACTTTACATTGCTCATTTAGGGTGTATTATTGTCAAACACATTGTTACTTTCGATAAAGATTTTGGTGTTTCAAGATGAGTTTACATTCATACGACATCATATTTATTTACATCAACAACCGAGCCGTTATACTTTAAATATTGTCCCCGATAATCTTTCCAAAAGAGTTAATTGTCATAAATTATGTGATTTGAGGCATTTAAAATCAAATTTGCAATGAATATATTCAATCATCAAGCTGCGATCATTATGTTGAAGATAAGATATTGTTCATATTCTTGGTACTACAAATGAATGCTTTTTTTTTTTTGTATTTATTTCTGTTGTTATCAGCTATTAAGTTGATTTTCTGACATGATTTTTTCTCTTTTCTCTTGGATGCTTACGTGGAATACTTATCTATATGCAGTTAGAGGTACGTGAACAAACTTACATTAAATCTGAGTAAGATTTATGGAGATATTTTCTAAGCAGTAAAATAGCTGATGTAGTTGTGTATATATTTTTACTTTAGGGTGATACAAAGGGTTCTGCAAGGGGTGATGGATCAAGCAAGAAAGATACAGTTGGGACTCAGCTTGTTCCAAATTCACAGGTAACCTACTTTCACTTCTTAGCCCTGTCTGATATCTGATATGACATGACATGACAAAATAGGTTGTACTGTGTTTGACATGCATCGAGTCTGACCAGTGTTAATTGGTGTATAAATTTTGCAGTACTCTCATCAAGGATCCTTTTCGCAAGGCATGAATTTTTTGAATTCACATGTTTGAACTTTCAAGTAATATCTCTCTTCCTTACACTTTTTATAATATTGGTTAAGTGATAATAGAAGCATTGTAATCATGTTATACTTTTATATTTGGCAGGTTCACTTGTGTATTTGGAACAAGTGTGGTACTTTGAAGATTCTTGTTTACTGATTCAATAGTTTGCTAGTAAGTGGTCAGTAAACAGAGATTGGTGCCTTTAATATTATTATATAGGCTTTTATATTAGTCTTATATATATTTTAAAAAAATGTATTGTTTATCCCCTGTTGTTTTTATTGGGATGAGATTTAGTGCTATTATGTTGAAGTTTGTAAGCTGTGTATGTTGATTGATGTATTAACTGTTTATTGATGTTGAATTATGTATGCTTCTTTTTTTAAACATGTAAATGATTGTTTTCCTAGAAACAACTCACTCGGAAGTCTTATAAATATTAAAAATAGTTGGGTCGTTTTGTATTTATACTTCAATATAATATTTTTCAACATTTTGTTACATGTCCCTCAATCTCAGAGTATAATTCTTTTGGCCGTAGAAAATTACAAAATGCATATTGTTCAAAGAATTACTAATGAATGTATGAGATACGGTATATATATACTAAGTCGCAAAAGATACAGACATTTTCTTTTAGATTTTTAAGGTAATAAAGAGAAATTTGGGAATATTATTAATCTTGAAAAGTTTTAAATGAGAAGTACAATATGGCGAGTTAAATCAGCGACATTCCCCTGGAAACGGTGTCATGCTTTGTAATGGTCACGAGAGGTGCACGTGAGAGACAAGGAATGGCACGTTAAGTGCACGTGCGTGGTGATCATGGTCACAACTCATTTGATTTCATAACCAAAAAGTAGTCTACCACCAATTTTGTTTGATGCCAGCAACTCTCATCTCATGCGGCTGTCACAACCCACATTTATTTGCCTTTATCTATTTATTTATTATCATTGTTATTGTATTTTAAATACATTAACATCTTTATTATTGGAAACTTAAATTGATATAAATGGTTTCCTCTAGATTACACCAAAGCTAATTCCTCTTATTACCAACGTTTTGTTATAACAAAAAATAAAATTTCACTATTTTTATATAAATTAAAATAGGCTAAGTCTATTGAGTTTGTCCTTTGTCCGTTGATATGTTCATGTCCTTCTTAGGCTACTCATAACGAGCATGTTCGTGGTCTATGTGGCCACGAACAAAAAATGTGAACACCACCCCATACCTTTAGTGGTGGCTAGTGATGGAAAAATTTGTGGTTAAATGTGGTGGGGAGAACGGACAACAATATCCAATAAATTTTTTTCTCTCTCTATGTCTCTCTATCTCTCTTTACCTCTCTCTACATTTTAATTAATTAAAAAATATATATTTTTTAATTTAAAAATAAAAAAATAAGAAGAATATAGTGGTGGGTATCCCATAGGTTTAGTGGTTGAATGTGGTGATGAGGTGACACCCACCCCTATAGTGGTTAGTGGTGGGTATAACGGATGACCTTATTCAATCCATTAAACCCAATGAATGTGGACTGTCATGTTAGTCTTCAATGGTTATTATTTCAATAAAAAGAACTTTTTTAAAACTAAAATAAATATTCAATTGAACTTTTGTAATTTAATATATTGTAGTAAAAAATCTATATAAAAATAAAATAATACTGTTATAATTCATTAAACTTTATAAAAATTGGATACATCAAACTATTTCATGAAATAGTTGGCCAAAATTTTTAAGATCAACGGTTTGACATGTCCGAAAATAAAATAAGCAAGAAATAAGAATTAACTAGCTCTAAAATAAATAAGCCAAAAGTTTCAAATATTTCTTTTCCTTCTAGGCTTAAAAAGTAATTTGCAAAGCTTAAACTATAAAAAATAAAAACCATGCTTGAAGAAGTTGTACCATATGTTAAGAAAAAGATTCCTCTTACTCCAACATAATAACTAAATAAAAAAAAAGATAAATTGTAATATACGACGTGACGATCATTTCATTCTCCCTTACCTTATCTTTCATAATTATTTTTATTATCCTATTTTAAATCACTATTATAACGTAACTTTTTGTTAATTGTGGTCTACGACTTTGAACCAAGTTTTAGTCCACTGTCATATCTTGTTTAAATAACATAAAACTCTATTTTATATATAAAAAGTAGTTATGCCAACCAATAAGAGATCGATAGTAACACCAAGGAATTTTCAAATCATGTATCCCACTTTATAGTAAAAATATCTAAATTATATTATCAACTTTTGAATTGTGCATGAGCTTTTATTAAAGACTTCAATGTATTTTATTTTATTTTCTTTACTTTTCTTGGAAACAAAACTTTACTTTTGAATACTCACATGTAAATTAGTAAATAGAAAAAAAAATGATATAGTGAAATATGCATAATTCGAGCCAGGTTCGTGTAGGTCACGAATAGTTTCTTTAGATTACTAAGAAAAATCTTGAATTTAAATATTATTATACATTATTCAATAATGTACTAAATGCATATATCAATAAATTAACGAGAAGCTACAACTTTCATAATCTCTATATATATATATATATATATATATATATATATATATATATATATATATAATATATAAATTCTTTCTTTCTAAGTTCATTTCATTCTAACATTACCACTTTTTTCAATGGTTCATAAATTAGTATTTTTTTTAGTTATTATTATTATTATTATTATAATAAAGAGTTCAATAGATTTATAAAGATATTGGTTTGGGGAAGTTTTAGTTTGCCAACGAAGAGGCACAAGACCTCCAGCTAAGACATATAAAAATCAACAAAGACCCCTTCCTTCCTTCCTTCTCAATTAGTCTGTGTGTCATGAGTTGTCCCAAAATGCCGCTTTATTATTCATCTTCACTAAATACATACATATATACACACAAATGCTTTATTTAATTAAAATTATATATTAACATGTAAGTAATAATGGATTAAGAAAATAATGTCAACTTAGGCAAATCTGATTCCGTTATGGACATAAGATGATAGCAAGTTGATGAATAGCCGTTCCAATAATAACAATAATGTATTTTAAAAACCATGAATTAAAAACTTAATATAGATAATTATATATGGTTTCATAAAATGTATAAAAGTATCTATATCATGTATTTACACCTGGTTACCCCATCATTATGATAGGGTTGATAATGATTTGTTTTTCAAGATCTATAAATATTTAAGCGTCATGTTGTAATATAAAATTCCACGAGTTACATTATATGGATGTATCTACATTAAATTTTTTCCCATTCATATTTATACTTTAGTTTTTCTATCTATCCAATAAAAATCTAGTGTTTTCTATAAAAAAAATATACATAAATATGAAAGGTAATGTGTTTTACAAATTACAGGTCATGTTTAAAATGATGTTAAAAGATTAAAAAGTGAGTCTGTAAAAATGCGATTTCCAAAAAGATAAAAGTAATAAGTTAAGGGTTTAGTTGTTTAACCAGTAGTGCATGTAAATAATGGTCAATGGTCATGGTCAAAGTCAAACTGATCCTCTTCCTTCACCTCCATCTTTTGATTTTGTTGTTTACCAAAAGTGCCCCCATCCCCGGTGAGTTATACAGCTGGCCACGTTTGCAGTGTTTGGGGGTGTTATTGTACTTTGGGTACATGGTCTTGTGACCCTCACGTGGCTTATGTTCCTTCGTTCCAGTCGCACACTCCATTCATTCGATTGCCCCATTATATGTACTTGTGACCCTCATGTCACTCTCATATATACCCTATTTTTTTTCTTCATATGTAATGTATATAGAAAATCATTCAAATGTATTCTTTAATATTGTTTTATTTGGAAAGTTAATTATTATTTATTATTGTAATAACATATATTTTCTGTAACTATGTTTAACGTGTAATAAAAGAAAAAAACATGTTAACAAGTATTTAACAAAATTGGACAATAATATTTTACGTCAATTCAACCTATATATGTGACTTATTTATCAGGTTTGTGCAATTATATGATATGATCGTCAAATATACGATGTATGATTTGAGAGAAATTTATACTATTTCATCGTATATTTGAAGGATACAAAGGGGTATTTATATATGATACTAATGATAGTTTCATTTTTGGAAGCTTCAACGAAGAACTCAAATCTACTTCCCGCATCTTAAGAAAGAGCGTGATGAATGCAAATATTTGATTTCACGTTATTTCTATAAAAATCAAAATCAAAACTTGAATATTAGAGAAGATTTGAATTTGGAGCTCCATATGACGAATTATGCATATTTTGCAAATCAGGACCCGCTTGTAAACTAATCCTAAACTCATTAACTTCTCATGTATTATGAGTGAGTTATATTTGTTTTAACTTCATTATACCATGTGCAAATGTCATATTAGCCCAACGAACTTATCACATTTATTTTAAAAGGGTATGCATTTATTTTTTTGGTACATAAAGGGAACGAAGTTCGAATTTACCTGCTAAAAAGGTACATTGACTTGTAATTACCGGTTTCGAAATGGCTTTGCCATCTTCTTCTTTCAATCAATAACGACTTCTCCTCATCCTCTTCCTTATCCTGCTTTCTCTTCTCTATTAAAACACTTTGCTGCCAAAGACCATTAATGATTCTGAGGTCTTCATCGATGTTTATGAAGAAAAGGATAAAAACACTCCATCTCAACTGTTACTGTTCATTGTTATCATTAAGATCAATGAACAGTGATGAATTGACAACACTCTCATTCGTCAATGCTAAATCGCTTCATCATTATGGGCTCCCTGATACACACTTTATTGAACCCCTGTAAATCCTTACCTTAATCCCCTTGATTTCATTAACTCAATCTCGGACCTCTACAAGACAATCATCCATTCTTCCTCTGAACCGGAAAGTTGTGGTCTATATTTAGAACAATATGCGCTATTTTCCGCAGTTGGTGATCCGAAGTTGCTTCATAGAAATCTGCACTCGGCTCGGGAGCATGCTTTCGACATACATTCAAAGGTTGTACTCTCTGGCTACGATATGAGAGGATAAAAGATGGGCTTGTGGACATTTCCGACATGGATTGTATTGGTAAAGTTTTCGAATGCCTAAAATCCACTTTGATTGATATCATGTAGGAATTGTTGGATTAGGTGTCTAAGCCCATAACTATTATTGATATGTACTTGACCCGAGAGTAGCATGGTCCATTTGGGTTGCATGGCATCAGAACAATTTGGATAGACTTTTGTGAGAAAAGGATATTTATGATTTATTAATATATTATAAGTTCTAATATATTAATATGAAATCATATTATTTAATTAGTATTGATCAAGAATTAGTTTGGAATTAATTTTGTGATCAAAAGAGACTAATTAAATAAATGGGG